CCAATAATGCGTAAATGGCAGACATGTGTCAGAGTGTATCAAAGTGTTAAGGATATATCTTTAAAAAGCCTTTTATAACCATTAAGGGAGCTATCGGGGATAAGCTATCGGGGATAAGACGACGCTTAGCGAAGGGGAAATAGCGAATTAGCGTTCGAAGAGTAATTAGCAGCTACGTTCATTCGGTGGCTCGTCCCAGTTAAGACAGTTTGAAAAAATGAAATTATTTTGCCGCCCATACTGGTACATAATGGACAGGAACGAGAAATGGAAGGTAGGAACATGGGTGTTTTACGATAAAGAATTAAAAGAAGATTTTGTCTGAATATATGATTAAATAGCTTGGGTATAATAAAATTTAACTAATGTTTTGCCAAGACTGTGTTGGATATATCTTTAATAAGAGTTCATGGAATTAAACAGATTAGTTTGTTGGAGTGGTAAATAGATAATCAAATGTTTCTAAGGATGATAGCTTGATGAAAGTGTGTTAGGAAGTAACGAGTACATTACCTCCATGTCTGTATTTGTCTTTGTCATGAATTTTACCTTTATTTGCCTATTAAATAAAAAATACATTTTCAATTGTTTTGATTACCTGATTTCTTATGATTATTATTTTTTTTTTTTTTTTTGTAGGATGATTATTTTGTTATATGATGTCTCATTCACTTATTTAAGTAAAGAATAACGTAGTTTTGAATGCTTGATATATTGCCAATTATATGTCTGAGTCATATCTGTCTTACGAGAAATTGCTGAAGTGTAAAGAACCCAAACGATACCTTATCTGACTGTCATACTGCTTCAATAATTATAAAATTAATTTAAGTCTAGATTTATGCAAAGTTTTAACTCTTGTTCTTGGACTGCACTGATATCAATATTGTCATATTAAAATCTGCTGATTTAGTATTCTATTTTTTAATATAACTAATATGAACAATAAACATCAATTGATTTAATCTGGTAAGTCTTAGGTGCTGAAATTTGATTCATAACAGTTGTGGAATGGGGGCACGAAAACAAGGGCTTCGTGAAATTTACATTGTCATGCAAAATCTTAACCACTCTTAATTTATCTACAGTTTAACTTTTCTTGTGATCGCCCCAAAGATTTAACTTGGTGACTCAACGCTATCCAAGGTCGCGGCTCTGTGCTTATTATTCCCTGAGTCTTTCTCAGCTGCCACAGTATAAAACTCCGCTCTTCACGCACCTCGGCACTCCTCTCTCGCCGCATCAGCGACTAACATGGTACGTCCTGCAGGTTTCTCATTCTCTCTCCCTGTTTGAGGATTCACCTGGAAAACTGATAGGAAAACTTACTTGATGTCCTCCATGTTTTAGATTTCTAGCCTTAGCTTTCTGAAATCTTGTTTCTTTCCCTTAGAATCGTTTACTTCTCACCGTCGCGATCGTGTCCTTCGTGGTCACCGTCGCCACTGCTGGCGGAGGTGGATTTGGCGGTGGACACGGAGGTGGATTTGGTGGAGGACACGGAGGTGGATTTGGTGGAGGACACGGAGGTGGATTTAGCGGTGGACACGGAGGTGGATTTGGAGGATCCGGAGGCTACGGCGGAAGAGGAAGAGGAGGCGGTAGCTTTGGCGGAGGACACGGACGAGGATTTGGCGGTGGCGGATTCGGAGGGTCTGGAGGCTACGGCGGCAGAGGAGGTGGATTTACCAGTGGACACGGAGCTGGATTCGGCGGAGGACGCGGCGGTGGATTTGGAGGATCTGGAGGTTATGGCAGCAGAGGATTCGGAAGAGGTGGTTTTGGAGGTAATGTTTTTAGAGGCTTCCATTTACACACGTGAGAGAATATTCCTAATCAATATATATTTTTTTCATATCTCAGACGACCTTAGTTACAGAATGATGTATATATGTTTATATGTATATACATATACATTATATATATATATAAATGCTTATATTACATGTATGTACTACATACATATACATATATGTATATATACATATATATACATATATATACATATATATGTATATATACATATATATATATATACATATTTCTCTTTCTATATATATATATATATATATGTGTGTGGTGTGTGTGTTTGTGTGTGTGTGTGTATGTATATATATGCATATATCTATATATATACATATATATATACATATATATATACTTATATATATATATATCTATATATATACATATATATATATGTGTGTGGTGTGTGTGTGTGTGTGGTGTGTGTGTGTGTGTATGTGTGTGTGTGTGTGGTGTGTGTGTGTTTATATATATATATATACATATTTCTCTTTCTATATATATATATATACATATATATATACATATTTCTCTTTCTATATATATATATATATCTATATATATATATATGTGTGTGGTGTGTGTGTGTGTGTATGTGTGTGTGTGTGTATTATATATATATATACATATTTCTCTTTCTATATATATATATATACATATATATATATATGATATATCTGATAATCAAAATAGAATTTTTTATTTTTCATTTGATTTGTCTGGCTCAACCGATTTACTTTGTTTCCTAAAACACATTACCTGTCCAAGTGGGAAATGTCTTTGCAATCTAACAGCAGAGAAGCTAATATCGTCAGTAACAAGAGGACGCAATGCGTCTTATTTGTATTCCTCAATATTATACTATCAGCTTTTACTGAGGCACTTTAGAAACCTTGCGAGTTAGCTTAGTCTAACTTGTGGCTTATATTCAGGTCTACTCTGAGTATGCACTTGGCTACAATGAAGACAGCAGTTTTTGCCAACAACTGCAAGGGCCGAAGAACATGTTTAGTCTGACCATTCGGAACTCTGGAACTAATGTAAGGCCTGGGGCTCATAGAATGAGGGAGGGCCCGGTCACTTCCCCGTGAGAAGACGTATTTCGGCCCACACACCAGGTACATAACCCTATGAAAAGTGCCTTGTTTTGTGTTCTCTGACGCCTTGTGTGATAAAATACCACTGATACCACAGGTGTAAAAGTATAGAGAATTTTAAAAGTTCAAAGGAAATTCTTGTCCTAAACGGACGGGTTTGCATTAAGAGTTCAGGGCTTCACTGGCGTTATCCAGCATCGCCACAGTAACAGGGCAATGGTCCGCATCATCGAGGCAACAATCATTGTAAAACAAAACACAGAAAAGGATCTAAAACCTGATTGTACAGAATGCATGTTAATTAACAATATATAATAAAAAGGTATAAACAACACTAAAACTGACGCAATAGTGCCTTAAAACACAGTGAGATATACCATTAAAACAACAAATCCAATTTTTAAAACAAAATATTCATAACCTGTTCAAGAAGTTTTCAAATGTATGAAATAAATAACTGAATTGATTTCGTGGCAGGTCGTAAATATATAACTGTAAACTAATTAAAGATATCGTATAACAAACGAAACCAATGCAAATAGTGACTATAATTCTGTGAACTAATAAAACTTTTTATAAACGTTAGATAAAGTGCCAATTAAACGACACACAGAGCGGTTCAATATTATGAAAATTAATTACGTAAAAAGCCACTACATAAAAGTAATAAGTCTATCAAAAATCAAATAACCCTCAGACTCCCATCCGCAGTTAGGAAGATCTCAAAGAATGAATAAAAGCCAATAAAATGCGGAAAAGGAATTCGTCTGGTTTCTGTGCCGCTCTTAAAGTTCGAACTTTAAGAGCATGTTGTATATCAGGGGTAGGCAATATAATGTGTACATATATATCTACATGTGTGTCTATATATACATGTTTATACATATGTATAAATATATATATATATACATCCATATATATTGTGTGTATATACATACAATGTATATACATTTTGTATATATATATTTATGTTTGTGTGTGTGTGTTCAATAGTTACATATATATACACTTATATATACATATTTCTCTTTCTATATATATATATATGAAGTTATGTATATACTGATTCCATATATATATGTATATATATGTATGTATGTACATGTATATGTACATGTATGCGTATATTTCTCTGTATATCATATAATATATATATTATATATTATATGTCTATATATATACATGTATCTACATATATATATGTATATGTGTGTATATATGCTTTATATATATATATCTACATATATATATATGAATGTATTTAATTGATATACACATACACATACAATCAGTATAGACATATATTCATATAAATATATGTACATGCATACATATATATATACATATATATATACTTATATATATACAGTATATGTAGTATGCGTATGTATATATACATTTGTACACGTGTGTAGACACACACTTACACACACATATATATGTGTATATATATATATATACATATTTAACATATACATATATATACAAAAGCAAGTATATGGTAGCTTAAGCGCGATTGGATCCTTAAGATCACGTAGTTGCGAAATATGGAATGCGATATGGATTAACTGGATAAACTGCACGAAACAATGTCTGATAAACTAAGGACGTTCAGGAATAGCAGGAGCTCGCATTAGCTAAGATTTCGAAATCTGAGAAACTTGCTTGCTTTCGTATTGATCGTTTGTAATTTCAGTCAATACGAAAATGTCATGAAAAGGTTCCTAATCTGAACGATGTGTGTTACTAAACAATTTTGCAAGACTGTATTTAATCGTAGCATTAGTAGAACATACTCTTATCTGGATGCAAGGAGAGGATCTAAAAAACATTATCCAGCAACTAAAGTGATTTCTCTTTTTACGCAAAAATCTTTTCAAGGAATTTACAACACATCCACGGTTTGTTTCACACCAAAACAACGCTTCGTGAAATTTGCACTATCATGCAAAATCTTAACCACTCTTAATTTATCTACAACTTTTCTTGTGATCGCCCTAAAGATTTAACTTGGTGACTCAACGTCATCCAAGGTCGCGGCCCTGTGTTTATTATTCCCCGAGTCTTTCTCAGCTGCCACAGTATAAAGCTCCGCTCTTCATGCACCTCGGCACTCCTCTCTCGCCGCATCAGCGACCAACATGGTACGTCCTGCAGATTTCTCATTCTCTCTCCCTGTTTGAGGATTCACGTGGAAAACTGATAGGAAAACTTACTTGATGTCCTCCATGTTTTAGATTTCAAGTCAACTGTTCCGTATGCAATACCTTAGCTTTCTGAAATCTTGTTTCTTTCCCTTAGAATCGTTTACTTCTCACCGTCGCGATCGTGTCCTTCGTGGTCACCGTCGCCACTGCTGGCGGAGGTGGATTTGGCGGTGGACACGGAGGTGGATTTGGCGGTGGACACGGAGGTGGATTTAGCGGTGGATTTGGAGGATCCGGAGGCTACGGCGGAAGAGGAAGAGGAGGCGGTAGCTTTGGCGGAGGACACGGACGAGGATTTGGCGGTGGCGGATTCGGAGGGTCTGGAGGCTACGGCGGCAGTGGAGGTGGATTTACCAGTGGACACGGAGCTGGATTCGGCGGAGGACGCGGCGGTGGATTTGGAGGAGGTTATGGCAGCAGAGGATTCGGAGGAGGTGGTTTTGGAGGTAATGCTTCTAGAAGTTTCCATTGATAATATGAAATCTAAATGCGTTTAGCTTCATTCAGCAATCCATCATGCAATCCTTGTGCCATCAGGAGGCCATGGAAGCTTTGGCGGAGGCTTCGGTGGCGGTCGTGGAGGCGGCTTTGGAGGTAAGCCTTCTTGTTTTTGACAAGGTCGATAAAGTGCTTTGATTTTTTAAATTACTGTTTCCACTTTTTCATTCGAAATCTCTCTTTTCAGGAGGGTATGGCAAGTAGTCTTTCTCAAAGTCTTCTCGTCGGCTTCTTTTCTATATTTCGTGAATGCCGATCTATTTTCGTATTAAAATTTTACCAAACA